GGATCTCGGATCTCCATAGTGTGTGATTGCAATGCTCGACTCCTCACCATGGGAACATCAACTCTGACATCGTGACCATTAGTGATCCTCAAAGTAACTGGAGCAGGTGCACACACTGCTACACCCCACAACACCGGACGGTCGACCTTTTTGTGGCCCTCTTGGTTGCAGTAGTGGGAACAATCTCTACTGATATGAACAAGCCTACCATACTTGTAGCAACCTGAACCCCTAGATCGACAAACTCCATCGTGTTGCTTCCCGCTCATGCTGCACTGACCTTGGCCATGCTATCCTTTCATTCGCTGATCAAAAGTATTGGATCTCTTCTTAGGAACTCCAGTTGTCTGCACCTGTTCTGGTTCCTCTTCCAGAGGTCCTCCAAATCAATCTCCTGCTCTTGGGCTCTAGCTATCATGTCCTATAAAGTCTGACAAGCTAAAAGTTGACAAACTCCCTTATTTCATCTTGCAACATATCATGGTACCTTGTCTTCTTCATCTCCTCATCCTTAGCATACTGTGAAACTACAAGACCCCTCCCCCTAAACTTGGTAGTGATCTCTGCCACAGTCTCAGTTGTCTGGTGAAGGTCCTGAAACTCCCTTGCTAATTTTTTCACCTTAATGGCTGGGTCAAACTCCGCCCTAAGTTGGGTACGAAACTCATACCAATTCATCGCCTCAATGGCTTTGCCTCCCAAAGAGAAATATACTTCTTCCTATTGATCTCAAACTTTACCTTTCAGAAGATAGGAAGCAAATCTTACCTACAACACCTCAGGGAAGAAACTCATCGGGAAAGCATTCACCATTTCCGCTAACCACCTCCTACTAGAAATGGGTTCATCCTCCCTAAAGAATTTAAGAGCTCCACAAGCACAAAACTCATGGAAGGAAAGAGTGCGAGCCCCCACAATAGCCATATTCTCAATACGGAATGTGCCCAGATGCTCATCTAAAATCTCCATGATCCCTTCTTTCACCGAACCGAAGATTACATGTGTCTACTACAAAATACCACGGGTGATCTCCGACAAGATGAAATCCCGCATTCGTTCATCAACCGGCTCAGTGCCATCACTTGATCCTGGATCCATATGTGAACAAAATGTTGTTGAGGTAATACAGATGAGTAGAGAAAATATAAAGTAGAGAATAGAGTAAAAGGTAGATAAGAAACAAAGATAGAGTATGAGTAGAGAAGAGTACGAGAAGAGCCTGAGATAGGCTAAGAGAAGAGTATGAGAAACAAAGTAGATGACAGGGGAAGAGATAGATGATATGATAAAGTGTAGAAAGAAATATTAAAGAAGAGTAGAAGAGACAAACATTAGAAAGAAAGAATACAAATGTATGCTATTAGAGCAGGAGTTAGATGATAGAGTATGAGAAAGAGAAGAATTAAGGAAGATAAGAAAAAGATTTGTTAAACCATGTCGAAGCACCACAATTCCAACACTTCAAGTCCCAAATATGTATCTTGGTTCTAAGAATACAAATATACAACCTTGATCAAAACATGACTCATGATCCTTGCTGACAATATCAGCACACCCCTTAGGCAGATAGAGCCGGAGCCTATCCTTGAGCCTGATTTCCAGAGGCGACAGAAATCTAGGCGCTCACCAGAAGTGTTGGGGTGCAAAGTTCTTCATGTATGACTATGTAATGGTTTGACTCTTGTAGACCCACTTGCATGTGGTGCATTATTCTTTTGACTAATGGGTTTTTGAGAGTGAGAGAGAGACATGTAAATACCTCTATATAAGGTGGGTTTGTCCACTTGTAGAGGTGTGCAAGAGAGATGTAAAAGTTGAATGTGTAAGTGTGTGTTATTTATGTAGTCTAGATCTATATCCTTTTGTAATACCATATACAATCAATACATCTCTTGAACACCCAAATCACCATGTTCAATTGTGCAAATATTAATTACGCATGTCAAACCATGTTCTTTGTCACTACAATTGGTATCAGAGCGGGTCTTCAAGATCAAGGTGATTTTTGAATAATGATTCTCGGTTTGGCAACTATTGTCGCAATTTGAACAATTTGTGGTGAGTCTCTCTCTCTCTCTCTATCTCTCTCTATGATCTCTTTTAATCTCATTGAATTGTGTGTTGCGTTCTTGATTCTTGATCGTTTTGACTCAATTGGATCGAATTTGTTTTAATGCTCCGTTGAAGATCCAATTAATTTTTTTAGATCAAACTTCAAAATTAAATTCATTGTCTCAAAATCATCAAATTACTGTTCATTGATCCAAAATGAAGTCCAATTTTCTTTGTTTGTCACTGTTCATGTTCATAATTGAGATTAAATTTCGATTGATACTATTCATAACCATATTTGAGCCCAAATTCATCATTCTTTTGTTTAAATTCATGATCTAATCCAATACCATTCAATTGAGCCCACAATTTGATAAATACATTTCAAATCCAATCCTCGATAAATAATGTTCATATAATTGATCCATTGTTGTGAACCCAATATCTTCTTAAATCCATTCAAACTAAAGTCGATTATTTGTAATTGATTCTTGTCGTCATATGATGTCTCACAAATATACACACTCAGTAGTTGATCCCGATTGTTCTTATGTTTTTATTCTCGTTCACTCAATTCGGTAATAAGATTGTATCTGATTGTTAATCTGAAGTTGTAAAATAGATTTCATATGAGATTTGTTATATAAAAGAAATCGATTTTGTTCAGATCTAAGTCTAAAAATCTACGTCTTTATTGTCGATGTTGATGTTGATGTTGTATCAATGGTCGATTGATTGTTTATTGAATCGATTTGAGATATGTTTGGATGACAAAATGTTGAATCTCGCATCACATAGATGAATCGCTTCAGGTCAACCCTCCAAAAGTCAGAATCGATTTGAATGAATTGATTAAAAAAATATGAGAATTGAATGTTTTGGAAATCAATTTGGGAATCAGTTGAAGTCCAAATAGATTTCTTTTATGGAAGAATCGCTTGATTTTGAAAATTGGGAACTGGGAAGGTGTAATAATCGAATGCTGTTTTGGTTTGAATTCCATGTTTTGAAGATTTTTGAGTCGATAGAAGAAAAGGTGGGGCTGTAATTAAAGGTGAAATCGACATTGATAGGTCAAATTTGGTTGAGTTTGTTGACGATCTGATAAAATCGAATGGAACCTATGATAGAAACAGCGAAGAACGAAGATAGAGTCGATTTTTCCTCAACAGGAACCAGGTTCGCTGGTCAGGGTATGCTTGCGAATGAAATTATTTTTGTGTTGGTTTGTTGATTGTTGATACTCAAAAGTGAAGAACAAAGGGTATTGTAATTGAAATCGATGTACGAAGGGTATTAATGGTGATTTAGATACGAAGGGTGCTCTGATTGAACGAAGAGTTACTGTTTATGGATAAGTCTTCGTATGCTTCGTATACATTAGATTGAAAGATAAAATGGAAAGGATGATTTCGTACGAAGGGGTTATTAAGTTTCATACCAAGGGTTGCCTGATTTCGTATGAATTGAGGAAGAAAGAAAGGTTTTGAAAATGGTCCTTGAAGTTTTGCATGTTTGTCACATGACAATTTCCTATGATTGAGGCAACAGGGCAACATTTCGTATGATTTGTGAAGAAGAAAAGCAAAAGTTTTGAAAACAGCTCCTGAACCTTCAAATTTTTGACACTTCGAAAATTAACCCTAGTTTCGTATGTTTGACACTTTTCATCCGAATTCAAAATTTTTTTGGAGCTTCGTATATTTTGGGGATTCTTCGTATGATTTGAGCACAAAGGGAAGAATTTTCGAAAATGGTCTCTAAGGTTTCGAATGTTTGGCAGTTTGCACCCAAATTCGAAAAAGGACTGTTTTTTGCTGAAAATTGAACAAAGTACATTTCAGGCCATTGCAGTTTGAGCAAATTGATGCTTTATACCCAGATTTGAAAAAAGGGGGAGAATTTTGCATATTTTGCTGTTTTGGGCGTACCAGGTCACTACAGAATTTTGAAATTGACAATTTCTACCCCTTTTTGAGAAATTTTGTCAAAGGCAATCCGTGAACGAAAATAAAAATTGATTATTTTTTGGATTTCCCGGTTGAAGCACAAAGTTTATGCCACATGTTAAGGGGGAGTTTTGACACAAAAAATTCCAAATAGAGCACGTTCTTTTTCCTTGGGGGTTTTAGAATCAAATTTCGATTATAAAAAAGGGGAGAAGTTTTATATGGAAATTCGAACTTCAATTTTTCATATTACTCGGATTTGAACACCGAAGTGATCTTGAATTTTTGAAGCCTACGAGATGATGCAATTGGAACTTCGGAAATGATGTATTCGAAATGGGTTTGATTTTATTGAAGTTTTTTGGGGTGTGTTTTTATGCTCAACTTTAGGGTGATTTTTTCTTAATCATTCGTTGCTGCTCGGTTTGTATGGTCTCACATCTTAGAACCCAAATTGAAGAATAATGGAAGAATTGAAGATTGAAGTTTGTTTAGACATGTGTCACCTTTGAGGCTCGAACCGCGTAGTTGCTCGATTTTGGAAGATTTAAAGTGGGTCATCCATTCCTAAGTTTGAGGGGGAGAATGTTGGGGGTGCAAAGTTCTTCATGTATGACTTTGTAATGGTTTGACTCTTGTAGACCCACTAGCATGTGGTGCATTAGCCTTTTCACTAACGGGTTTTTGAGAGTGAGAGAGAGACATGTAAACACCTCTATATAAGGTGGGTTTGTCCACTTGTAGAGGAGTGCTAAAGAGATGTAAAAGTTGAGTGTGTAAATGTGTGTTATTTATGTAGTCTAGATCTATATCCTTTTTGTAACACCATATACAATCAATACATCTCTTCATCAGATTTTGCAAGAACTGCATGAAATATGATTTTCACATGTGTTCCTTCATCCTTCACTTTGAATTTACTTTTAGCTTTGATTTGGGGCATGATGAACATCATCTCATTGATCGGAAAATCCAATTGGCTTGCATCAGTATTTGTAACTATGTAGCTCTGTTTTGGCTTCTTTTTGAATGAATACATATGATTGAATGCAACCTTGGCTTCGATTGTTTCATAGTTATAATGCTTTGATGGATCACATTTGACTTCTCCACCAAAATAGTTTTTCCTCTAGCTTTCAAAGTTGAACATAATATTACTTCTTTCATTTTCAAACCACTTCCACCAACATCAGTAGATTTACCAATCTCAATACCTTTCAAAATTGGTTTTGTAATTGGCACAGTTGTTACCACTGTCGAAGTAATCAGACCACCATTTGCTATGATTGGCTTCGTAGTAGGGATCTTTGAAGAAAATACATTTCCTAGCACATTCGCATCATCACCACCAACCTTCGTATCTTCACCCTTCCTTTCTCCCCCTTGCACCCCTGTATAAACAGGCAGGGAATTTGTGGTTGGAAGAAGGCTGGATATGAGAGATAGAGTAGCCAATTCTTTGAGATGTATATCTTCGAATTGAGAAAAATTTTGCAACAGAAAATCCGAAGATAGTTGAGAAGATGAGACTGGCTTTGTAGATAATTCTTTGAGCTCCTTTAACAAAGTGATGACCTCCATAAAATTTTGGTTTTTAGTTGTAGAGAGTTGAGATAGTTAAGGACTCAAACTTCCATACAACTTGGCAACTTTCGTCACAACATCACAGATGATGTCAACCTTTTGATTTAGAGAAGCATATTCCGTTCGAACACATGCAATCTCCTTGTCCATATCTTGATGCAGCTCTTGAATTTTGAAGTTGACATCCTTGTGAACCCTCTTAAAATCTTGAATAAACAATACATAACGTTCCTTGGTCGCCTTTCACAATTCCACAACTTAAGGTTCTTAAATAGGGGCTCAACCCTAAAATTTAGGGTTTATAGTTAAGACTAGAATGTTATCTGATCATCTTCGAGCCTCCAACTTTCATTCTTGATTAATGAAAACATCATTGGCAAATGCTTTCGTAGTTGTTTGTCTTTCATAAATCCAAGAATTTCACCTCTGATCTTCATAGAATGGAGAATCCTTCTTCAAGCCCATTTTAAAGGCCTCTATGGCAGTGGTCATGTCAATGTTCGATATTTTCAACGCTTCCCTGCCAAACCTGCTCACAAACTCCCTAAGGGGTTCTCTTGACCTTTCAGTTCTAAAGCATACATTAGTACACACTTTCCCATTTTACAATAGGTCTCCTAGGAGAGAAAATGTTATAGCACTCATTAGGAAGATAATTTAGAGAATTTTTTATTTTTTGATCCATTGATTATTTCCTACTATGATATTTTCATCGCATCACTATGACTCTATCAAGGTCTCGTGTTTGATGTTAGTGACCATGTATTTTGAACCCAATAAGAGTTATGGGTAACCTTGGGGCGTACGACATTAACTAGTAGCTCAACGACATGTTCCAAGAGCAAGATCAACTAGAGTGTAGCTTAACTTACACAGTTTCTTTCTAACAAAAGTTAGAAAAGTTCATTGGAAAAGCTTCTACTCGCTAGCTAGTACTACTTCAGGGATCATAAGGCTTCGCCGAACGCTAAAACTAAGAGAAAATGGACTAGAAATGAAAGTCCCTAGGGTTTCTGATAACATGTGAGGTGTGCCGTTAATCCATAAGGCATGCTGTTAACCCACTGGGATTGATGACAGTCCCTAGGATTGTTAATGTCAGATCATCTGTTGTACAAGAACTTCCAAGATTGCATATTTGAACAAATGATCATCCTCCGAATCAAGTCATTAGAAATCTTAACGTAGTTCATGGAAAGGGTGGAAAATCTATCCCCTGAAACCCCATAATACTGGTGAGAGATGGCATGATCCACTGGTGAGCCAGTATGATGGACCGATGCTCCTGCTATAAAATATCTATACGTTGCATCACATTACGTAAAGTCGGCTCTCGATTAGTCTATGCATATCTAGATCTCTGACGCCTCTCGTAGGCAGGTTCAGGGATATGCACCAGCGCCACAATATCGTCATCTGGGACCCTCAGCGCCATTAATATACAATACAATTGATACGTAGATGGCATATGTACCAAAATTTTATTTATATTTGAAAAGGATATATCAGTCTTCTAATTTTTTTTTCTGTGGAAGATGGCTAGGTCTTACTCTATGTTATAAAATGTTGATAATGGGTGTAGGGCTTCACCGGGATGCTAGAAAACTTAAGGAAAATGTGCTAAAGGAAAGGGAAGGGACGAGCGTTCATGGTCGGAACGGTCCATGATGGGTGTTTTGACCTCGTTTCCATGAAGATTGGGCGTCTTGGCCTTGCCTTGTGTGACATCCCCAATTTCACGGCCAGAAAAGACCGATTTGTTTATGCTTTGTTTTAAAATCAGAGTTATCTTTTAAAGAAAAAAATTGCGGAATTTATCCCAAAAAATAAAACAAAATATGATAACCATTTATCAAAATATTTCTCAAAAAGAATGTTAATTTTTTATTAAATAATAAAACCTCGGGATGACATGTTCCGATACAAATCAAAAGCATAGATAATATAAAATAAACCTTACAACAGTCATTTATAACCACTGATTTATAATCCAAAATATCTCGTCAAGTCCACCAACTTAGACTCTTGTGCCATACCAGTAATGTCAAGAAAACTGAGTGCGTCAGGCTTGGAAGCCTGGTGAGCATATAGGGTTTTCAACCCACAATAATATATTTATTATATTCAATCATCAAACAATCAACCAAATTACCCATCCCCATTATCTTCTTTATTTCTCAACGTTTTACCCTAAGAATCGATTATACTTTCTTCATTCATTCCTAAGGATTTACCTAAGGAACTAGCACAAAGTCCATTCGCTACCACGATTTGTACAACAGGCACTACGTCACATAGTTACCAGGGTTCATAGAATTGGCACTACGTCTCATAGTCACCAAGGTTTACACAATAGGCACTACGTCTCATAGTCACTTGGGTTTACACAAAAGGCACGAAGTCACATCGTCACCAAGGTTTATCAAATAGGCACGAAGTCGCATCGTCACCAAGGCTTACTCAATAGGCACGAAGTCGCATCGTCACCAACTATTCCATCTACCCATGTTCCACCCAACATTTTTGTAGATATAAATACCAGCATAATTTAAATCATTTAACACCTGTATAAAAACATCAAATCAAAGTCCATCTCCAATAAGCAGTTAATATATAACACATAGCATGTATTTAATAGCTACTACTTTATATTTATGTGTTAGAAGAAAGTAACTATGCACTCATGCATATAAACAACAATATATATATATATATATATATATATATATATATATATATATATATATATATATATATATATATATACATAACATGTATTTTATAAAATACTTCATATCTATGTGTAAGATGAAAGTGACTATACACTCACTTGATCATAAGATGATGTGACAACACTACGACTTGCAGAAGTAGTATTCTTGGATAGATCTGAAAGATCTTCACAAAAACCAGGCTCCTCGAGGGCAGCGCTTCGGCTAGGGAATCTCACATCTTGGGATCTTCGGGACTTCAGAACTTGTTTCGGGGCTCGGGAATGATACCGGGGCTTTGGGATATAATTGGCACGCAAATCGAGGCAAAACCTAGAAAGAAAGGAAGAAAAATGTCAAAAGAATCGGCTGATCCCGGTTTCTATTTATAGGCTGTTGGGTCTGGGATTATGTTGGGCGTAATTTTGGAGTACGCTGCGCGTAGTCACTACGCTAGGCGTACTCTTCGGATAAGCTTTGGTATGCGTGCCACGATCTTCAAAATTTTATAAATTTCGCATACGAACTCTGTTTTTGACGTTCTTTATATCCACGCGTAGGGGAGATTATGCTCAACAACTTTCCGTTAGACTCCGTCGGCTAATTTTGACTTTATTTTGATTATATTATTTTTTTGTAGGCCGGGACAGGAAAACTTCATTATAAAATCATAACTTCTTCATCTAACGTCCGTTTTTGTCTGTCTTTTTACCATTGTACTACTAATGATGAGATATTCGATTCTTGTTTAAATTTTTTTGGCTAAAAACCGCTCGATCTCAAGTCGAGTATTCGGGCTGCATATCGCTAAGTTGAAACTTAGAAAAATCATAACTTCCTCATACGAAGTCAGATTTGGACGTTCTTTTTATGAATGCTCATGGTTTAAAGAACTCTACAACTTTCGTTTAGATCACTAAGGCTAAATATCGCTCTAATGTAAATTCACTTTTTACGTCATTCAGTGTCGTGCCGGTACTGTCGCGAAACTTCGACAGGTCATAACTTCTCCGTTATAATTCGGATTTCAGCGTTCTTTATATGTACGAAATCCTTGTAACATATACTATAACTTAGTTAAGATTATTTATTTTAAATAATCTTTTGTCGAAAAGTCGTTTTCGACCCCTATTACTTCTAAATTGACTAGCCCGGATCTACGGACGTTACAATTATCACCCCCTTAGGATGATTATGTCCCGGAATCATTAACGAAATAGGGCTTGTAAAATGATTCCAATCTTCTAATTTAAGTCAGATGTTACATCGAACTTGGTCCTCTGGACCATGTAACCAACTCATCGTAGTCGGACTCAATTTGGATACGACCACTAGGGTCGAAACAAAAAAAAATCATCTCGCTAGTCATTACCGAAACAATGGTAATGACATACCAGAATAAAACGAAATCAATCACTCGCTTCTTGGTAACCTTTTGACTTTCCTTGATCCAAGTGTGAGTCATGTGCTTCCGGTAGTATATGCATCTACTACCTTTTAAACCTACTCATACTCGTCCCAAGTATTATCTCGCAGTCCCCAAGTCCTAAAATGAAAAAACAATTTAACATATACGAATGTGTCCACATAATCATATAAGTTTCCTTAGACTCTACTAGGATTTCTTCCATGTGTATCTCCAGTCATCAATACTACTTCAACTTGGTTGGTGGTGGAAAGTTCATCTGATGGGTCAACTTTATGAATAACACCAATATTCCATCATCCCGCCAATCGAAGGTGTACTTGGGACGTACCGTACTCTTCTAAATGCATTGTTTGACATATACTATCGACAAGACCCCATTCTTACGATTTCTTCCGAGAGGTGTCATTCATTATCATAAGCCTTTTTCATTTCCTCCGTTTACTCAAATTTTGCTACGATCCTTCACCATGGCGTTACATTCACGGAAGCATGCGTCCAGCGCATCAAGACGAGAATATAGATAGAAAAGATTTATACATGTAATACTCCTTATTACTCTAAAAAGTTACATGTCGGTTCTAATATCGTAATCAAACGTTTAGAAACTTGAGCACGTAAAATTTCCAGTTCCGGTCACTAATATACCATAGATCCGAACAAATAATATCACATATGGCAATCATATAACATTTAGCACATAAAAGCATTTTATGCATATTTCCTTAAATTTACTAGTGCTCGTGACTAAAATATGGTAGACACTCATCTCACGATCATCACTTAGCATTCTAAGTTTAAGTCTAGAAATTTCCTACAAATTACTAGTTCGCTTAAACTAATGCTCTGATACCAAATGT